AGGCAATTAAGAAGCAGAGAAAAGGGAAGACGAGAAGTGCGACACACAGATTTGCTGCCTCTTTAGCCCTGCGTTCATTAAAGCAGCCGGCAGTTTCATGTCAGACTCCCCCAAGGAGTATACTATCTAGCCAAGGCTGGTATTTCGCTAAAAACGAAAGTGCATTTACGAAAGCTTTGTACTTAACGCCATTAAGTTTCCGCAAAATCCGTTTATTGAATGACTTTGTGTAAACTACCTTCCGTCGCAAGCAGTTTAAACCGCACAGAGTCAGTGGATACATGCTCGCCTCAAGAGAGTGGTTCAACTGTCGTCAAGAGTCGTGCCGGAAAATCGCCGTTTCCAACTGTACGCACTACAAACCGCACAGAGGCAGTGGATAAAGCCTCGCCTCAAGAGAGTGGTTCAACTGTCTTCAGGCGTCGTGCCGGAAAATCGCCGTTTCCAACTGTACGCACTACAAACCGCACAGAGGCAGTGGATAAAGCCTCGCCTCAAGAGAGTGGTGCAACTGTCTTCAGGAGACGTGCTGGAGAATCGTCGTTTCCAACTGTACGCACTACAATTCGCACAGAGGCAGTGGGTAAAGCCTCGCCTCAAGAGAGTGGTGCAACTGTCTACAGGAGACGTGCTGGAGAATCGTCGTTTCCAACTGTACGCACTACAATTCGCACAGAGGCAGTGGGTAAAGCCTCGCCTCAAGAGAGTGGTGCAACTGTCTTCAGGAGACGTGCTGGAGAATCGTCGTTTCGAACTGTACGCACTACAAACCGCACAGAGGCAATGGGTAAAGCCTCGCCTCAAGAGAGTGGTGCAAATGTCTTCAGGAGACGTACTGGAGAATCGTCGTTTCCAACTGTACGCACTACAATCCGCACAGAGGCAGTGGGTAAAGCCTCGCCTCAAGAGAGTGGTTCAACTGTCGTCGAGAGTCGTGCTGGAGAATCGCCGTTTCCAACTGTACGCAGTACAAACCTCACAGAGGCAGTGGGTAAAGACTCACCTCAAGAAAGTGATCCAACTGCTCCCGTGAATGATGTCAAGGATTCGGCGAAGTGTTCCAATAGTGGGTAAGTTTCTTGTCACTTTTGCCCTGCTCCGAGGGTGCCTTTTCCAGTAGAGCTACATTTAATGCCTACAGGCGTGGTTCGATGAGAATTGCTTTCGGTAATGCCCTTTACGATTGACACTTTTACGCACTGGAG